TTAGAGTTTACAACTATAATGTGAGACAGGACATGGAAAACAGTATGGGCAGTTAACAATTGGAAAAGCTGACTCAAAAACCAGGCTAACAGGAGGTGTGGTTTGAGGAGAGGAGGAGAACGTTCTGTGTGCATGCTTTGAAAGTAAAGAAGGAAGCAATTCCACGAAAGGTGAAGAAGGTGAAATTGTACAAGTTTTTCCCCTGTTATTAATGCTTTCCAATGTTGTCTTCAGGAGTTTCATGTTATTGGATTCATGTTGGCTGACTGTAGGTTGCACACCAGTATTGGATAGTGATGAATAAATGATAGCCATTTGAGGAATAAGGCTGGATCATGTTTCCCTTTCATCAAAGTATGGCTTGAGATCTGAAGAGCTGATAAAAACTGCTGGCTATACTTGAATTTTCTTTTAATTTAACTTACTTTTCTAATCAACCTGTTCAGAGTTGTTATTACACATCACTGGAGCAGGTGGGACTTGAACCTTAGTCTCTTGGTTCAGGCCAGGGGTCGGGACACTACCACTGGGCTCTTAATTTTGTCACCTGATGAGAATTCCAGTTAATCCCAACAAAGTGCACAAATTCCAACCTGATCAAAATCAGACAAGGAAGCCAAGGAGGAGGAATTAATTTAGTGCAAAGAGACCAAAGAGAGAGAGAATGTAGATTTGATGGCACGTAGAATTTCCCCCATGGTGAGCTTCCGAAACGCTGGAGAGATTGCAGCCTTTATTGCAGTAGCAACGGATTAAAATCGTCATGTGTAAAAAGACTTGCATTTCAGATACTATCTTTCATGACCTCATAATATCCCTGAATTCTTCACAGTCTTTGCAGTCATTTTACTATTATGTGGGAATCCAGACAACCAATTTGTGCATAGCACGCTCCCCAAAACAGCAGTGAGGTTTCAAGTAATGTGACTGAGGGATAAACATTAACCGGGCCACCAGAGGAGAACATGTCTTGCTCTTTGTCAAGCAATTCTAGAGGATTTTTATGTCCAAGCATTCTGGGCCGTATCTCAATGCCTCATCTGAATTTCCTCAGGCTTGCACTGGAGTGTTAGCCTCAAATTCTAAGCGCACTCTCCGAACTGTGACATGAACCCTCACATAACCCTCTCAGTCAGAGACATGAGTGCTGCAGTGAGACACAGCTGGTGCTATGCTGACATACAGATAAAAGCAGAAGGAAGAGGAGCAACAGAAGGATAGTAAATGTGTCAACACCTTTGTGTGAAATTCCTCTTGTCTGCCACTGAATGAACACACGTAATGGGTGAAGGAGTGTCCAAGCTTTCTGTCTCTCCGAATCATTAGGAGTGTGCAACATCTCCCCCTCCTCCTGGGTAATAGATAACATTACAAATTTCATTCATTTCTCACGGTCTCAGGTTGCTGGTGCTGACAGATCCTGGTGTTCTGATCTGAGTTTTATGTCTCATCAAGGCTAAAAGAGCTAAAACAATTGATTTCGAGCCCCCTGGATCCACATTATTCAAACAGGATAATTCATTGAGTAAGAGATATGTGCCCAAGTAGATATGAAATATTTGAGTTTCTTGGGATAGACTGGCAACTTTACAATGGCCCAACAGTTGCAGTCAGAACCACGCTGGGTGAGGTCTTTTGATAAATGAGCAAAGGAACTTCCTGCAAATGCTCCATTGTGCTTCTTAGTAACTGTGCGTGGGGCATATTCAATATACAGGTGTTGTTTTATTTTGTTTGCTGATAGGATGTGGGCAGCACAGACTCTGGCAGCATTTATTGCCCATTCCCAAGTGCCCTTTAGAAGGTGGTGGTGAGCTGCCTTCTTGAACCATTGTAGTCCATGTTGTACCTGGTGCTGAATTTGAGACGCACTGGCCTCCTGAACCCCACATTGTTGTTGTCACTTCAGTGCACAGTGACATTGGTAATGGTCAGTGAGCAGCTCTCCAGTGAACATGGGGTGGATGGAGAAAAACGGAAAACAAAACTTTTTAAATAAAAGATCGATAGTAATCCCATAACAGTAGGTCCGATGAATTTGACTGCTGATCTTGCTCAGAAGCAGGTCTGATCTTAGAAGAAAAGACCTGCATTTATGTGACACCTGTTACGATCAATAGTCATCTCACCATGGCTTATGGGCATTTAGTAATAAAAGTGACATGTTCTGACTAAGCTGCTTTGTATTTTAATCCCTTGGCAAGTTCTGAAATAATGTCTTGAATTTTGAGAGGAAAATAATCTGGGACCTGTTGAAGACTACTGAATGTACATCTGTCTTGATGTTTTGTGAGAGTAGAGCCAGAGGTTGTAAAGTGATGACAATCAGCAGTCTCCATTGGACGTGTATCGCAGTGCCTCCAACGGCAGGTGGCAATGGTGCAGGAGAGAATATCAGTTGCTTTGTGCATGTCCTTGCAGGGAGCAGTGTCTTTGCAAGCTGGGGAGCTGAGAGGGGGACTGGCCATGGGCAAGACAGGATTGAGAAAAAAAAGGAAAGATGTTGTTAAACTTGAAGCGTTCAGAAAAGATTTACAAGGATGTTGCTGGAATTGGAGCATTTGAGCTATTGGGAGAGGCTGTATAGACTGGGCCTCTTTTCCATGGAGCATCAGAGGCTGAGGGTTGATCTTATAGAGGTTGATAATATCATGAGGGGCATGGACAGGGTAAACAGGCAAGGTCTTTTCCCAAGGGTAGGGGAGTCCAAAACTGGAGGGCATAGGTTTAGGGTGAGAGGAGAAAGATTTGAAAGGGACCAAAGGGGCAACTTTTTCACTCAGAGGGTGGTGCATGTATGGAACGAGCTGCCAGAGGAAGTGGTGGAGGCTGATGCAATTACAACATTTAAAAGGCATCTGGATGGGTATATGAATAGGAAGGGTATAGAGGCATTGGGGCCAAATGCTGGCAAATGGAAATAGATTAATTTAGGATATCTCATCAGCAGGGATGAGTTGGACTGAAGGGTCTGTTTCTGTGCTGTATAACTCTATGACAAGGACTTGTGAGGAGGAATGCTCTGATGCAAGTTGTCAACAAGGAAGCAGATTTGGAGCAGGCATGTAACTTCTGGAATATCAAGCCAGACTCACTGGCAGTACCCTTTAAATGGTGAAGCCTCGTGAAGTGAGAGAGACAAAGGGCAACAGCCAATTGGAACAGATTGCCAGTGATGTGTCAGCATTGAAGAACTAGGACCACAATTAGAGACGAGAACAGCCACTGTAAAGTGGCAAGACAGTTGGTAAGTGGTATTAGAGTGAGCCTACAGCTTCAGGAGACCAACATGGATCAGTGGGGCAAAATCATTGAGTCTGAGAGGCCAAGACGGGGAGAAAGATCCTTTTTGTGTCTGTGAGATAAGGTTTTACATGGTCATGGGAAATCAGGAGTTGGAATTCCTCTAACTGAGCTCATTATCCAGCTGATTGGAGATCAGGTGTTAAACTCTCCAACAATACTCAAATGGATCTGTAATGGAAGATGAATGTCCATTGTAAATAGTTCATCCCTCTTAAGTTACATTTTTCTCGTCATGGGGTCTGTGAAGATTCATTGTCAATGGAATAAAGCATCCCTAATGTATAACTTTGTGCCGTATGTGTTTAAATCAAAGCGTATTACACCCGTTCATTGATGGGTTTGGCTGTATTGTCTGGCAGCACTACCTATAGAATTGCCACTGCATCTTTGTGCAATTCAAGAGAAACAAACAGAGAATCACTGAAGAGCAGTTCTGCTTCACTCCCCGGCTAAAGGCAGCTGCATTCAAATCTATGGAAATGAGGGAAGGAGCTTATCTGGTCCATTTCCAGCCACATTCACCTTTCTAACCTGAGATGCAAATGAGATCTGATTGTGTTTCATGGCAAGTTGATCATCTGTGAATGTAAGTTTGCCTTTTCCATCTCTCTACTCATTTAAGAACCTACTTTTTGTTTGACTAAATGTAAGTGACTAGGTGTGAAACATAGTTTGATGATGCTGCAGTGAAGTACTTTGGTATGTTGGGAAGTACTAAGGATCAGAAGGACCTTGGGATGCAGGTGCACCAGTCCATTGAACTAGTGAGACAGGTATATAAAACAGTTAAGAAGTCATATGGGACACTTTGATTCTGCCGTTGGCAAGCCTCCAGTTGCCTGGGCCCTAAGCTCAGGAACTTCCTCCTTCAAGGTCCCTTCCCATCCACTACTGCTCACAAACAAAACTTTTCCTTGTAATTAGGTACACGTGACTATAATAAATCAAATCAAATCAAATCAAACCCCTCTTTCTGCCTCTGAGACATCACTTAAATCCACTCTATTTGACTCAGCTTTCGGTCATGTGTCACTGATATCTCCTTGTGTGAGTTGGTGTTTGATCACAATTCTGCCAAGAGTCTGTAAAATTATTGATAGAGGTCTCAGTGAACTGGAAAAGTCTTCATCCTTGAGTTACACTGCCTGGTGTGCTTTAGAGTTAGGATATCTCAAAACTGTAGCTGATGGTTTTGAAATCTACCATGTATTATGGACTTCATTTGCAGAATTGGCTTTCAGCTTCGACTTTAGAGATGGCAACACAAGATCAAATAGGATAGTAATTAGCAGCCAAATATATATGACCTGGTGTGACTGACAATAAAAACTGTCTGATTACACTGCCTGCACTGAAACACCAATAAATTTATGACCGAATGCCAATGTCAAGTTTGGAACCTGTAAATGATGTTCTATATCAGTTGGAACTTGTCTTCTGGATATTTCTTGCCAGGACCAGCCATCTTTGAAGCTCTTTCTCATTGCTGCCACAAGAGATGAAGCTATGTTATTGTTATTGTTGTTTGTCTTCTCATTTCGGAGCTGCTGTTTCTCACGAAGCTGGGCAGCGGTGGGGGGGTTGGGGGTTGGTGGGATTCAACCATCACCGCCCAGAGACACGACCAGGGAGTGAAGACACTGACAGATTCCACACCCCCTCCATCCTCCGTCCGCGATAGTACAATCTGAAGGGGGCGGATCTTCAGAGAAATGCTTCTGCTCCTGGCTACCCAGCTGACTTGAGTTTGGCATTTCGATGCTGGAAACGGGGGTTATTTTTTGCTCCGGTCGAAGTAAATCCCGTCCTTTTTTTAAAAAAATCCCCCGTGTGTGTGTGTGTGAGGGAGAGAGAATTGCTGGAACTCAGAGAACAGGACGGGAGAGAGCAGGGAGCGACAAGGAACTGGAACTGCTGTGCATTTGCAAGAAAACGCAGAGGAAGCTGATTTGATGTTTCACATGTAACCACATCCGTGATTTTAGCAGAAGATATTCGGTTTCTCTCTCTCTCTGACACACACACGTCTTTTTTTTTAAAGTTTCCCTCCATTTTGTGATAAGCCACAGGGCAGACAATACATCAGCAAAACGTTAGTTTCTGATGGCTTTCAGTCCATGGCAGATTCTGTCTCCCATTCAGTGGGCCAAGTGGACATGGTCTGTGGTGAGACCAGGGCCAGGAGCTGAGGACAATGAAGGGGAAGACTCCAGCCCTGAAGAGAAAAGGTTAAGTTTCAGACAAGTTGTTTATTAAGCATTCAGAAGGGGAGTGTGTGCGTGAGGGGAAGGCTTGCAGGCTGTGTTTTTTTTCCCCAGCATTTTTTTTTGTAAAACTGAGAAAGTGCGAGAACGTAATCCCAGAGAGAATCGATAACAGTCGGTTTTCCTCATCCTTCCGATGGAAACCTTGCTGATTTTCCTCCCCCTGTGTCTCTTCACAGTTCGGACTCCGAAGCGAATTTCGAGACGCCAGAAGGTGAGACACCTGCCCAAGGCCAGCCGGAGATAGGTTCAGCCCAGCAGGTCGCTGGCAGATTACAACAAGGTAGGTAAGGAGCTGGGCAACCAACCATTTTCCCCTGTGCTATTTCTGGAGCTCGGAGGCAAGTGGCAGGAGGAAAAAAAAAGGGCAGCAATCCATGTTATTGTCGTGGAACTTGACAGAGTGCCAGCTGCTATTGGCTGTACCGTGCTTGTGGGTTTAACCGTTTCGAGAGCAGTGCTGAATTTAACGTGGAGACTTGAATGAGGGACTGTGTGCTCTTTTGTATTTCACTCTCCTTGTTGCACAACAGAAATGATCACATACCCTATTGATTCCTAACTCTCTCTCGGTCACGTCAACCCCAAAGCAATTATTTTTCAGCAGAGATGCAAATGCCTTTGATCACTTTTTCTTTTAAAAAAAAGTTCTAGTCTACCTGCGTCTATTTACTGCAGATCGATTACTCGTGAGTGCATTTGCAGCAAAGCTGTACACTGAAAATTTATCTCAATATTCAGGATTGATGTAAGGTGCACAAAAATCTGTTTGCCAATTTTGGGGAAAAAAAGGGAGTGGGCAACATTGAGGTTTCACGTTGCATTGTAACAAATTAAACACCCAAATCAGGATTTTGCATACTTTTCCTTACCCCATGGAGCATCACCAGAAATAAATGCCTCTGCTGCACAGTGTGTTTTTGCAGGAATGGCAATATTACGACCTTGATGAACATTTAGGCAAACGTTTGGAAATATTTTGAATTTCACCAAGTATTTGGTGAGGTGTCACAGGAGGTGATTCCACCAATTCTTGGCTGAGGTTGAGCTTATGTGTTGCCACGGATTGATACATCGAGAGAAAGCAGTGATTCATTGTAAAGAGTAATTTTCATGTCAGCGGGGGTGTCATGATCGTGTTACCACAAGGTTCACAGGGATAACCTGGATGAGGGGACCAGAGTTGGTAAAGTTTCTTGATCGTATCAAAGTGAGGTGGGAAGGTAAACTGGAAGGATGATGCAAAGAGGATGTTGACATGATAACAAAGTGAGCAAGAACAGGGGAGATGCAATACATAGTGAAAACAAGTGTAAACTTGTCCAGTTTTTGAAAAGTGGAATATTTTTAAATGGTGAGTCATTGGAAAATGTCGGTCTTCATAGGAACCTGGATGTTAGCTTCCAGCTGGAGCAAACACTTGGGAAGGCATTAACATATTGGCCTTAATTACAAAAAATAGGAAAGAAGTCTTGCTGCAATTGCATAGCACCTTGGTGAGTCTCCAGCCTTGCCTCAGGATGGACACAGTTGTCTTAGATGCAGCGTGCACAATGTTGACTGGACTGTTTCTAGAGATGAGGGAATTGTTCAGTAAGCAGAGATGACTAGCAAAGGCACATATCCACTGCAGTTAAGAAGAATGATGTGACTTAATTGAAATGTGAAGATCATTACGGGTTTAGATTGACATGCAAAACACTAGGATGAACTGTATCTCTGACCAGGACATCTTGGTCACTGCACATGGACTGAGATGAGAAATTTCTTCACTTGGTTCGTGGTGAATCTTTGAGAATTGTGTACCTCAGAGGTTTGTGGATGCTCACTGGTTGAGCTCCAATAGATTTTGGGATAGGAAGTGAATTGTGGATATGGGGATGGTGCAGCGAAGCTCAGTTGCAGGCTGAAGTGAATTGTGGAGCATGCTTGGGAGGCCAAAGGTACGCAGTTACTTTGAAATGTTTAATTTGTGATCTGCTCCCGGGGCATTAGCCATTGGTAATTCTGATATTTGGAATGGATTAAAGCCTTTGGTTTAATAGGATTTAAGAGGCTTGATGATTTAAGGGATGCCTGGTGGATTGAGGCTTGATGACCTGCATTCAGATTAAAATGTCTGTGTCTTAATGACTGTTGTACATAATCAAAATTCTACTTCCAGCCCTATCATAGATACTGCACACAGGCTGTCTACCTGCTTGATCGAAATCCAGAACTGCATTCAAGGCTCTGGGAACTTGGCTGAATGGCATTATGGAGTTGAGGGATAAATATTGGCTCAGACATGAGTTCTGTCAAAGAGCCATACAGCACGAAAACAGACTCTTTAGTCTAACCAGTCCATGCCGAACATAATCCCAAACTTCGGTTCTGAGGAAGGGTCACCGGACCCAAAACGTTAACTCTGTTTTCTCCTCCACAGATGCTGCCAGACCTGCTGAGCTTTTCCAGCAACTTGGTTTTTGTTCATAATCCCAAACTGAACTAGTCCCACCTGTCTACTCCTGGCCCATATCCCTCCAAGCCTTTCCTAATCATGTACTTATCCAAATGTCTTTGTAATTGTGCCCACATCCACCACTTCCCCAGGAAGTTCATTCTACACACAAACTACCCTCTGTGGGGGGATTAAAAAAAAACATGGCCCCTCGTGTCTTTTTTAAATCGATCTCCTCGAATCTTAAAAATGTTCCCCCTAGTCTTGAAATCCTTCATCCTAGAGAAAAGACACCTCCCTTAAACCCTAGTTATACCTGTGTCCTTTGAATTTTTGTGTGGGATCATTTATGTGGTCTTCTGAGGGGACAGAAGGGACCCTGGTCTAATATCTCAACTGAAAGGTGGCAGTTTGGATGTGCAGCACTTCCATAGAAGTGCACTGAAGGGTCAGATTAACCAGGTCTGTGGAGTTGGGCTTGAACCCTGAATATTGTGATTTCGGCATTAGTGTGACTTTAAATTGATGTCTGGCTCATAGGTCAGAGTTATACTAGCAGCTGCTATGCTGTGCATTCACACATCTTTATATTCAGTGCAGAGTATCATGTGCTCCTCAGTAAATTTGCGTTTGATGGAAGTAGGCGGAGCACTTGCTTTATTTTTACAATCTTGTTTAGGCTGAAGTAGATAGTGAATCGGACAAAACCTGAGTGAAATTTGGGTATAAAATCCCTGAAGGAGTTGTGAGGACAAGTTTTGTGGGTTCAGAGGGATGGTCAAGTAAATCTGGCCAATATGATCATCAATTGGATTCGTAGCGTGGAATTATATCTCCCGTTTGATCGTCTGAAAAAGTGGAAAGCATCACTTTAGGATGTGAATCTGATCCAGTGAATACCTTGCTTTGTGAGTTAGGTCATGTCATTTGAGGGTTTGGGCTGGTGTTCATAGTTATCTGCTAAGAGACTGCAACCACCATCCAGTCCCTCCTGGTTAGCTTGTGGTTGAGCAGTGAGTTAGCACATTGTTAGGTGCATGTCCCCCAACATCGATGGCTGATACCTAGTGCCAACACTCACTACACAATTACTCCTATGGATACCCGTTTGACTTAATTGTTCAGCTTTAAGAACATGTTCTGACAGCAGGAATGGGCCAGCAAGTCAGCTGGTTGAGTTGGTGCTGTGGAAAATACAGAGGGAGACCAGAATCGGAATTCCTACAGTGAAGAAAGAGGCCATTCAGCCCCTCAAATCTTCACCAGCCCTCTGAAGGGCATCACACCCAGACCCATCCTATCCCAGTAACCCCTCAGGGGGTCTTTACTATGACTCACACACAAACCTGCACATCCCCGGTCACAAATGGGCAATTTTTTTTAGAATAGCCAATCCACCTAACCTACGTATGTTTGGACTGTGGGAGGAAGCCCACGCAGACACGGGCAGAATGCGCAAATTCCACAAAGACAGTTGCCCAAGGCTGTGGTCAAATTTTTGTCCCTGATGCTGTGAGGCAGCAGTGCTAACGACTGCATTACCATGCTGCCCTATTGTTTCAGTAGTATTTTTGTGGGATGTGAGCATCACTGGTAATGTCAGCATTTGTTGCTGATCCTTAATTGCCCTTGAGATGTGTGGCTTGCTTTCAGAGGACAATTGCTCTGGGGCTGGAGTCACATGAGGACAGACTAGGTAAGGAAAGCCAATTTCCTTCTCCGAAGTCCAAACAAGACTACTTGCATGCTGGACCACACCAACAACAAGTGATGGACAGAGCTAAGAGATCCCACAACCAATGAATCAGATCTCAGGTCTCAGCTCTGCAGTCCTGCCACATCCAGTCGTGGACAGTGAAACAACTCACTGGAGGAGGCGGCTCCACAAATATCCCCATCCTCAGTGATGGAAGAGCCCAGCACATCAGTGCAAAAGATAAGGCTGAAGCATTCGCAGCAATCTTCAGCCAGAAGTGCCGAGTGGATGATCCATCTCGGCCTCCTTCAATGTTCCCCGACATTACAAATGCCAGTTTTCAGCCAATTTAATTCACTCCATGTGATATCAAGAAATGGTTGGGCGGTACTGAATACTACAAAGGCTTCAGGCCCTGACAACGTTCTGGCAAACGTGCTGAAGTTCCCTCCAAGCCACTCACCATCCTGACTTGGAAATATACCACCATTCCTTCACTGTCGCTGCATCAAAATCCTGGAATTCCCTCCCTGATGGAATTGTGGGTTCAAGAAGGCAGCTCACCACCATCTTCTCAAGGGTAATCAATGTTGACCCAGCCAGCCACTGCACCCACATCCCACAAATGAATAAAAAGTATTGTTAACCAGATGGGTTTTTATGACGTTTGATGGTAGTTTAATTCTTGGTCCCCAATCATTGACACACTAGTTTGTAATTCTAGATTGTTTTTAGAAAAAAAGTTCGATTCAAATTCCACCCTGCCCCAAGAGGAACGTCTGGATGACTAGTCCAGTGACATGACCATCTCTTCTGGGTGTTTTGTTCCCACCGTAAAGCCCAACCAGTCATCTGTCTTCATGAGTGCAAGTGGAAAAGCTTCACTGGTGAGCCTATTTTTCCAGAAATACTGGAATTCCTTTGATATCAATCCTTTATGAATGAAGGCAAACATGTGCTTTGCTTTCTGCATGAGCTTTTCCCCAGTTCTAGACAAGGGCATAAAAATGGGAGCTGGGAACCTGAAGTTGTTGGTCGCCATTATTTTTAAAAAAATTCCAAGTGAGAACATTCCAGGTACATCCTCTGTTCCCGAGAGTTGTGTATTGGAGTGCACTTGTTTCTCTTCTTCCTGTTTTGATTAACA